AGGCTGTTAAGGACATGAAGCTCTTGACATTCGAAGCGTCTGATCTCGAAAAGGTTTGGTTTCCTTTTTGATAAAGTGGAAAAGGGTTGGATGCTATCATAGTTACGTAGCATTTTGGAATAAAACATGCATCTTGTTACTGCATTCTGAGGGATTTGGATTTGCAGGGAGGCTCGTCGAGTAAAGTTGTAGACTGCATTCTTTGTCTCAAAGGATTTTACGAATGGAAGCAAGCCGGTGGAATTGGAGTTTGGAGATATGGAGGGACTGTGAGGATCACATCCTTCCCAAAAGGGTCACTATCCTCCTTAGGTAGTGAAAGTGCTGATGAGTCAATAGACGAGTCGGAGTCATCACAGTTTGAACAACTACTGGAGTTTCTTCATCTTTCTAGTGAGGTCTCAACCGAAGAATCCAGAACTGCCAATGCTCTCGCTTTCCTTTTCGATCGCTTTGGACTTGGACTTATACAAGCTTACCTTCGAGAGACTAATATGGTCGAAGACTTGCCCTTGAATGCAACGGTAGGTAAGATCCTTAATGTAAATATGATTCTATTTTCATAACTATACTTGCCGAATCAATTCTATTGTCTTAAGGGTTCTGATTCAGTTAAGTGACTAAATATGTACAGGTAATCGATACTTTACTGAGTAAGGTAGTCAAGGATTTCTCAGCGCTGCTTGTTTCACAAGGCACTCAGGTATGTTAAAAGTCTTCGTCCCATGGTGTTTCTATTACTAGCATTGTGTAGAAGTACTTCTACTGGATCAGTTTTTCGACTTAAGCAGGATGCCATTCGGCATCGCGTGGAAATAATCTTATATCCCTTATTTACAAATTTTCTGCAGCTTGGCCTCTTTCTAAAGAAACTACTGAGAGGAGACTTGGGTGGTCTATCAAAATCGGAATTTGTAGAAGCTATTACACAATATCTAGGTCAAAGAAATGGTTCGGTGTCAAATGATCTATCCAACTTCTGCATTTGTGGTGGGAAAGGTAGCGAGGCTGTTCAGTGTGATAGCAGTCATTCGTCTGTCCATGAAGAACTAATTAGGACTCAACAGAAACAGCTTGAGGTGAGTATCCTATCTTCCGTTTCCTGCAAGAATTACGAAAATTTAGCAGGAGCATTAATAGATCAAGCACATAGGTTTTCTTCCCTCTTCCTTTTCGGCAGAATGCAAGACATAGATTTTCTTCTTACGAAACCGTTTGCTTTGGTCTGTCTTGGATATCTTTAGGAGCTCAAATCATCTTTCCAACTGACGAAATACAAAGTCAAACAAATTCATTCAAACTGGGAGGAAGAACTTAGAAGGCTTGGTAATATTCTAAAGATTTGATCTGCCTCGAGAATATTTCTGCAACTACAAAATGGATTCATTAACCTCATACTTTCATTTTTTTTTTGTCTCAGCACATCACATCAAAGGCCTTGAAGTGGCATCCTCTTCCTATCAACAAGTTATCGAAGAGAACCGAGTTCTTTACAATCAAGTGCAAGACCTCAAAGGTGTTTATTTCATCCCAGCTTAATGTATTATCCAGCATGTTAGGATATGGAGCTTATTTAGAAGATTTTATTCTTGCAGGATCAATTAGAGTCTATTGCAGAATCAGACCCTTTTTACCGGGGCAATTGAACGGCCAGTCCACTGTGGATTATATCGGAGAGAATGGAACCATCATGATTGTCAATCCCCTTAAACAGGGCAAAGATGCAAGAAGGGTTTTTACATTTAACAAAGTCTTCAGAACAAATGTCACACAAGGTATTCTATCATCGCAAAGTTTTTCAAACCGCTATCAGAAATTGAATTCGAAATTTGAGTAACAGTTTATTGAAATAAACCGAAGATGTGCTACTACACTACGATTAGCCATGAACGAAAATGAAACCTTCTTTTTACAGTTTGTACACCTTAATATTTTTGCGTAAGAAATTATTCATGATCTCTCTTCACTGTTCTGTGCAGAGCAAATATATGGTGACACTCAACCACTGATCAGGTCGGTTTTAGACGGTTATAATGCATGCATCTTCGCGTATGGACAGACTGGTTCGGGGAAGACATACACAATGGTAATGCCAATTTACTCTAGTTTTGCAAATAGATGTGAGAATTCGTATATGTAGATATTAGATTGTATTGAAAAACTACTAATACACACAACATGCACTTCTTGCTTATCTTATGCAGAGTGGCCCTGATTTAACAACAGAAGAGACATGGGGTGTAAACTATAGAGCCCTTCGTGACTTATTTCAAATATCGAAGGCGAGGCAAGACATAGTAAGATATGAAGTTGCAGTTCAGATGATCGAAATATACAACGAACAAGTGAGAGACCTTTTAGTCAGCGATGGCTCTAACAGAAGATATCCTTGCCCTTCCTTTATTTTTTCTCCAACTTGAGTCCAAATTTAGGCCTTACGAATTCAAAAGCTCTATAAAGTATGTTGTCGCATTGTTTCCTTAACTTATATGCTACATTAGATATACGAAACAAGTCTCAACTGAACGGCCTCAATGTACCTGATGCAAGTTTGGTTCCAGTGACATGTACTCAAGATGTTCTTGAGTTGATGAAAATCGGCCAAAAGAATCGCGCTGTTGGCGCTACAGCTCTAAATGAGCGCAGCAGCCGGTCTCATAGGTGGATCATTTATATTTTATTTTGTGAAGTTCAAGCATCATTTTGTTTTTTGGATGTTCTAACAAGTGAATTTTGGATTGGCTATTTCTTCTGCAGTGTTTTAACAATTCATGTACTTGGAAAGGAGTTGGCTACCGGATCAATTCTAAGGGGTTGCCTTCATCTTGTGGATTTGGCCGGGAGTGAGAGAGTTGATAAATCCGAGGCTGTTGGCGAGAGGCTAAAGGAAGCCCAACACATAAATCGATCGCTTTCTGCACTTGGAGATGTCATATCTGCTCTTGCACAAAAGAGTACACATGTTCCTTACAGAAATAGCAAACTTACTCAAGTCTTGCAAGACTCTTTAGGTAACCTTAAAAACATATTAAGTCTTGTTGATAGAATCCACTTTTCCAAATGCTTAGCATTTTAATTCGATCTGAAATGTCGATGATCTTAATTTTGTCAATGTTTAGGTGGTCACGCAAAAACCATGATGTTTGTGCATATAAATCCTGAACTTAATGCGCTCGGGGAGACGATCAGTACCCTCAAGTTTGCTGAGAGGGTTGCATCCATCGAGCTTGGGGCAGCTCAATCTCATAAAGAAACGGGTGAAATCCGCGAACTTAAAGACGAGGTTTATCTCTCATTTCTGCAGTTCTACTTCAAATTTTCAACTAATTTTTGTTATAGTGCTTGCTTAAAAGTAAATATGTATCTGTGTAGATATCAAATCTTAAACTGGCATTGGAGAGAAAGGAAGCTGAGCTAGAGCAAATTAAAGGCAGCACACGAAACGCCATAGATTCCCAAAAGTCAAGAGCTGTTTCACCTTTCCGTGTTCCGAGAAATGGTACTGGAAACGGTTCAAAGCCTGAAAACTGTCAGCGAGCCTTGGACGATACTAAGATTTCTGAGGTACATTCCGTCATGCAAAATGAAATAGTTGAAATTCGGTACTATATTTTTCTTGAGGAGTAATGCTAGCATTAGACTTGGGAGGTTCTCTAATTGCATACAAATGAAATGGTTTGGTAGCAGATGATAAAAGTTCATCTCATTTTTGTGCTCAAATTTGTTGGCATTCAGGCAAGAAGTTGCTCTACGGGCAAGCAAAGGAGGTTGAGGTTTCCCTCTGCATTCGCCGACAAGGAGATTTCAGCGAAGATGTCATTACCAGTTGAAGACAGATTAGTCATCCCTGGACATCTCAGAACACCATCACCTCCAGTTAGGAGATCAATATCTACTGATAGAGGAGCCTTCATCAAAAGTAGGAATAAGGCTGACACAACCGAAAACCATCCAATTGCGAAAGTACCATTTCCAGCTAGAGTACCTGTCAATAAATCCCTCGCAACTATGCCGGTGTTCCCATCAACTGAGAACAACTCGAGGGTATGCACCAGTTCGCGAGAACCAACTAAGCACGAGGACATTTTCGGTGCATTAAACAGCCTCCAGAAGGCCAACTCCAAGAAAGTTTACCAAGAACCTGAAGACGAGCAGTTTAAGCTAGCTCTTAATGTAAGGCAAGGAGGTATTAGAAAAATCAAGAATGAGAGTAAGGCAGCTAAGATCAAGCAGAACAGGATACCAGCTAGAGTTCAAAATTCTGATGCAGTGACAACAATGTTTCCTAACTCAGATGCTGGTGAAAAGATTGAAGAGGCTCGAAAGAGTGACTTCTCCGAGCCGGAAAATGAGGATATCCTCATTGCTTCACCCAAGCATAATTCCTTGATGGCGAAAAAGCTTCGGCAACCCATGCCAAGGAACTATATAAATCTTGAACCACGGTATGATCTATAATCCAATGGTTTTTCGTTAAATTTTTTTTTCTTTTCGGATTCTCATCCTGAACCAGTGTATGATATGTCCTTTTACATGCAGAGGACTAGTGCAAGCAGAAGAACCTTTATTGGCTGGAAAGTCCGAAAACAAGCTTCTAAATGGCAATGGCGTAACACGAAATCAAAAGGAAGGCGGCAACATGGCCATGCCTGAAATCAGAAGAAGCCGATCCACACGGAATTTTTAGTATTACCTTGAGGAATTTTAATGCTTTCAGTTTTCTTTTAAAGCATCTTTTGTATAGTTGCTATGTATGTTGGTGTTCCAGATTGCATTTTCCTTAAACCTTTGTCTTACTATATAAATTACCTATATATACCTTTTGAGATCACTCTTTCTGTAAATAAAAAAACACAATGTTGCAGTTCTCGATCGAGTTTTTCTTATACTGGAAGCTATTTTTAGGGTTTACAGGTACTTTTTTCTCCTTTTTATGTACAATGATTGCATATCTACTTGTCATCTAAATTTATTAAGTACTAAAACAGAAAGAAAAAAAAAGGGATGAACATTTGATTTGATATGGATATAAACAGATTTTAATATATTTCACACGTTTAACAGAGTTTTATTACCCGCGTCATTGCACAGGCTCAATGACTAGTGTGTACTAAAATTAGTAAGGAAGAAAAAGAAGGCGATTTTTCTAGTACCAATAATAGCCATGTAACCAGCCTGGAAGTTAAGAGACACTATTTATAGTAAAATAGATAATTCTGTTAATCTATCCATACACCTCATTGACAGCCTCAGCTAGCTATGATGTTCTTCCTCAAAGCAGCTATTAAGATCTCAGCTCCCTGAGAAGTCCCATCGATCTTGATACCATTGTTTGGTAAATTCAACCTATTTTTCGAGTCTCTAGTCCTCGAGATCAATTTTGATGTCTCCAGAATTTGAAATCTTGCCTTCGTTCTTCATATTTCATTTGTTCCATCGTATCGAGAATTTTGACCAGCTACAATAGACCCTGTAATCCAAGATAGCATGTGAGTCTTTTTTGTTGATCTCAAACTTCTGAAAAAAATTGAGAGCTTATCGTGTTGCAAAATTCAGGTGGAGTAGATAATGAGGCATCTCTTTTCCTCGTGACAATGTCTCATCAAATTCTTCAGGCCTCACCCGTTTCCATTCCAAAATCACCATCTTCCGAGAAAGTGTGCAAGGAAAAGGAGAAAGATAAGTCAGCTCCGCAGAGCGCTGTGACTTATGTCTATCAAGCGAAAGTAGCTGAATTGTGCTGCAATGTCACAGCGACATGGTGTAAAAACCTAACTAGCCATTCCCTCTGCATCACAGTGGAAAAGCCTTGTCAACAAAATCAGTGCTGTACTTGTAAGATAGACTTAAGCTCAACCCAGTTTTGGGGCAAGAAAGGTCTCAAATCGTTCGAAGTAGATGGAAGACGGGTGGATGTGTACTGGGATTTTCGACAGGCGAAATTCTCCTGCACCCCAGAGCCATGCTCGAATTACTATGTTGCCTTGGTGTCCAAACAAGAGGTGGTTTTACTGCTGGGGGACTTAATGGAAGATGCTTATAAGCGGACCAGATCAAGATCATCATCGGAAGAGGCTAGGTTGATGTACAAGAAGGAAAATGTGTGCGGGAAAGGATTGTTTTGCACCAAAGCCATGTTGGAGGAAGGGAGGAAAGAACATGACATTGTGATTGAAACGTTGTTGTCCGGGCCCAAAGATCCTGAAATGTGGATTAGCGTAGATGGGACAGTGGCAATTCGGATTATGAACTTGAATTGGAGGTTTAGAGGGAATAAAACTGTGATGCTGAATGATATGCCAGTTGAAATTTTTTGGGATGTGCATGATTGGTTGTTTAGTAGCTTAGGCACAAGCCAAGGGTTTTTCATTTTTAAGGCAGGGACGGTAGATTGGGAATCATCGAATATCAATTATGATTATGGGAGTAGAAATGGAAACTGCAGCAGTTGCAGCCTGCAGCACAGTCCATGTAACTCACCAAAAGGCAAAGGGAGCTCATCAAACATAGGAGGGTTTTGCCATTTTCTCTATGCTTGGAAAACCGAGTGAGACATTTTGAGCGGTATATAAATCACGGTTTAGTACTCTTTATTGTTAGTTCAATGTCCCTCTAGTTCGGTATTTGATTTAAAAGTTTGTAACCGGTTACTTGTACATGTTTCCATATTTTATATAAAACTTCTTGAAACTATAAGAAGCTCTTGGGGAGGGATTAGGATCACCTTCGGATCCCAGCCTGCGGAGCCAGCTGACCACAAGATCTCATCCTTCCATTTTTTATCTTGTGGCCAAGAGTAATGAAAAATTCTCATGCAAAACAAGGCAAGATGAAAATGGAGAGTTAGGATCTTGTGGTCAGCTGGCTCCGCAGGTTGGGATTCGGAGGTGATCCCAGTCCCTTGGGGAGATCTAAAACACAAAGCTATAAGAATTACTTTCATGAGAAATTTTCTACACTTACGAGCAAGAAGGAAAAATGAAATTGTTATAATTATAACAATGCAATTTGATCAATAAAACTTTGGATTTAGAGACCACTCAAACGGTTAAGCCGCTACGAAACGAGTAAGCCCTAAAAACTTGATCGTATAGTACTTTAAACATGTCTGACTACTGATTAAAGCACAAGTAAATAACTAACGCGGATACGCCATGGATGAAAGCTTAGTATGCAAAGAGTCTTCTACGTTTTACTCATGGGCGAAGCTACAGAGGAGCGAGAAGGGGTGGACACCCCTCCCCTCGCTGGAATCAAGCACAAGAGCAATGGTTCATCCCCTCTAGTCTCATAAAAAATGATGGAGTCCCGGCTACTGCTCTGGTTTAGCAGCAGCAGTGAAAGGTTATAATTTTTTTTGAAAATTCCTAGGCGGAACGATGCCATTTTGCTTTATTGAGATAAAAATAAATAAATGATTATAAAGGGGACCACTAGTCCCCCATTTCATCTTCACACTCACTCACACCCCGTCCCTTTTACGAGAGCAGCAAAATATGCCCCAAAAACTCACAATTCACAAATATACCCTCAAGTTCTAACTTGTTAAATTATATTGGCAATGTATTTAATTTTGTATACATGAATATAAATTTTAGTCTACAATCACCTAATGTAGATTAATAGTTAGCACATAATTCAATCTCTTACATATATGTAAATATTTGATAATTGGTAGTGTTCATTTAGACCGTTTTCACAGTAGTGTTCATTTTAATCTTTTCAAATGAGTAAAAAAATGAAGAATCGTATGTATTTGGAGTTTAACTTAAAAAAATAGGTCAACTACAATTTACATTGTTCATGATTTTTAAAATGGGTCACGGAGTTTTAAAATTCTCATAATGCATCATAAGATATATTATAAGTGTATTAATTTTTATCTTTGGCATAATTGTATGATTTTATTAAATTGATGGCATTGTGAGCTTGAGAACCTTATATGAGCTAACTTGTAAACTATATTTGCACCGGATTGACAAAAAACCTCTTTAATTTAGGATTATTAACCTTTTTAAAATTCGACTTCGACGAGTATTTAACTTAAACCAAAGATTGATTGGTGTCAAAATTTTGTTTTGTTGGATGACTAATCAGAAAAGAAAGAAAAAAAGTATTTTGAATAGAAGAATTTGTGACGATCAACGACAAATTTTTTTCCTCGAAAAGTTTTTCCGACAACTTAATACCTTTTCCTACAACATTTTACCCTTGCTTTAACGTTTCATTATGCAATGAATGAGCACATTATGAATTGTTTTCATGACATGAAACCTCGTCGGCAACAATTTTTACCCTTTCAAATTTCGCCCCTCCCCTCAATAATTCCTGATTTCACCACTGGATGTACTAATCCTTAGCAATCAAACCGTACGAGCAATTTGTGAATGTTGTGTGTCAACAAACGCAAGGACCTTCACTTACATAAGCATGTTAACCTAATAGAAGAATTCCATGCCGGAGATCACAACTGATTTTAGGTGGTGGAGATGAGTTTTTAGCGGCATCCAGCATGGACAGGACTTGGTTCGGCTGGTCTTTCGCCGCCATGATTGAAGACGGCTGGTCTTCCGCTGCCGTGATTGAAGCCTGTGATTTTCTCTCTCGATTAAATTGTTTTTAAACTAACAATATGTTGGATTGGTATAGAGCTGAGTCGATTTGTATTTATACGGAAGACGGTGAAGCGGATCCAAATATCAAATGCAAAGTATGTATGTAGTGGGAGGGACTTGAGCATACTGATCGAGGCGGGATCGAGCACTGCCTGAGGAACTCGAGAGGGGTCTTGAACGGCTGAAGGGAGCTCTCGAGTCCTGAGTGCCTATATTTCTAAATCTTTAAGAAAAAGACGGCCAAGTTCTTTAAGTAAATAGAAATGTTTAGGACTGTTAGACCAAGTCCGAGCCTCCTATCCAAGCAGAGCTAGATTTTGAATATGGGAACCAAGAAGTATGGACTGCAAGTTTTATATCAGTTTTCTATCTCCACATCATGTGTGGCCTTCGACAAGAAAGGCACGGGCAGTATGGTGTTGGTCATGGAACTGTTAGTTTTATATAAGCCCTCAGCATGTGCAACATGCACTGTAAATAGGGATGGACTTATTAGTTTTTATATTTCCTCAAGCACATGCAGCACGTGCTGCATGAATTGTAAATAGGGTTTTCATTTTCTGATGTAAGTTGAATAGGAATATAAATACATGCAGCCTCTCTTGATAGAGGTACGAAACTTGAAGTAAAACCTTGAGAGTTCTTAAGTTTTACATGGTATACGAGCCCTAGCAGTCTAACGACTTAGATCCTCAATTTTTTTTTCCATGGCTGACGCTACCAACGGCGCTGCAACCTCTCCCAACTCTCTTTCACACTCTGTCATGAATTCCTACTCATCCATGACAATGGTTGTTAATATCAAACTGGATAGAACCAACTATCCTCTGTGGTTGGCTCAGATCCTTCCCATACTCAAGAGTCGTAACCTGATGGGATATGTTGATGGGTCCATCGTATGTCCACCCAAACATCTTCCTGATGCTGCAGCTGTCAACCCAACATACACAACATGGGTGCAGCATGATCAAATGATCCTGAGCTGGATCAATGGCTCTCTTACGCCATCTGTGTTGTCCGTCGTCGCCAGCAAGAGGTCCTCTCATGACACCTGGGAGGCTCTGGAACAACGGTATGCTTCTACGTCCCAAAATCGTATTTTGTTTCTTCGCAATGAACTGATGCAAACTAAGAAAGGTGACATGTCTATTGCTGATTATCTTGATCGCATGAACTCGATCACTGATAACCTTGCCCTAGCTGGCAACCCCGTGAATGATGATGAACTCGTCCAAATTATCTTGAACAATTTGGGCCCTGCATATGAAATGACAGTGAGTGTTGCTCAAGCACGCGATACTCCAATCGCGTACCCTACCCTTGAGGCCCTCCTACTGACCACCGAGAGACGCATGACTGCACAGAATGCTCAGCCTATGGAGGCTGCTCCGGTGAATGCCTTTGTCACTGCCAGAGGTCGTGGTGGACGACTTCGTGGAAATGGACGTGGTGCGTTTCAGTACGCACGTGGTGGTGGTGTCAACCCGCGGGGGTCCTTTCCTCGCAACAATAATCACCGGCCCAACTCGACCTACAATGGTGAGAAACTCACTCTCACAGGAGACCGTATCACATGCCAGATTTGTGGAAAACAAGGTCATCCTGCCCTTGATTGTTATCAACGAATGAATGCAGCCTATGAAGGGAGGATTCCAACAAAACAGCTCACTGCCATGGTAACAGCTCCGGTTCCGTTTAATCATCAGAACAATGGACAGTGGCTTTTGGACACTGGTGCTAACGCTCATGTGACTCCTGACATCCAGAATTTGGTAAACCCAAAAGAATACAATGGTAATCAGAATGTGGGTGGTGTAGGTAATGATACTGGCCTCTCTATTTCTCATATTGGTTCGAATCATCTACAAACACAATCTTGCTCATTTAAACTGCCAAATATTCTAAGATGCCCCACTGCCTCAACCAACATTATTTCTGCACACAGATTTACATTAGACAACAAGTGCTATTTACTCATCTTTCCTCATTTTTTTCTTGTTAAGGACCTCAAGACCCGGAAGACGCTTTTCCGCGGGAGATGTGAGAATGGCTTATACCCATTTGTTGGTGGCGGTGGACAGTTCATAAACCCTATTTCAGTATGTCTAGGCATTCGAGCCTCGGCTCCGAAATGGCATTCACGTCTTGGTCATCCTGCATTCTCTATTATCAAGTTTTTTAATCTCAAACAAACAAGTACCAATTCATGGTACTGTTGATGTCACGTTTTGTCCGTCGTGTGTCCTTTAGGAAAAAGTACTAAGTTACCATTTAGTACTTCAGAGTCTGTTTCTCAATTTCCCTTACAACTTTTACATTCCGATGTTTGGTGTTCTCCCGTTATTTCAATTGAAGGTTTTCGATATTATTTTGTTTTGTGGATGATTATTCTCGGTACTCTTGGATTTTTCCCATGAAAAATAAATCTGAAGTGTTTGAAACATTTGTTCAATTTAAAGCTAAGGTTGAAAATATGTTTAATACTTCCATTAAAACCCTTCAATGTGATGAAGGAGGTGAGTACAAGAGTCACTGTTTTCAACGATTTCTTGCAACAAATGGAATTTCTCAAAGGTTTTCGTGTCCAAAACACCCCGAGCAAAATGGCCTAGCAGAAAGAAAACATCGCCATATTGTTGAAACAAGTATTGTCCTACTTACTCACTCTCACATTCCAAATCAATATTGGTTTGATGCATGTTCAACGGCAACCTATTTAATTAATAGACTGCCAACTCGTGTTTTGTCTCATAAATCGCCCTATGAAACCTTGTTTCAAAAACCTCCACACTATGAGATGTTAAAAGTTTGGTTGTAAGTGCTTTCCTTGGCTTGTTCCTTATGCACAAAATAAACTTCAACCCAAGTCCAAACCATGTGTATTTTTAGGATACTCACTGAATCATCAAGGGTATAAATGTTTGGACCTGTCCACGAGACGACTTTATTTGTCTCGCCATGTCCTATTCGATGAGGACTCCTTTCCATTTAAGGAACTCACATCCTTGCGGGAAAACGTTGATCACACAGGTAGTT